CCAAATTGAAATAAATACATTATTTTAAGCATTATATAAATAATTGATTTTTTAAAGTATTTTTATTGATTTTGTAAATGTTTTATCATATAATCTGAGATGTCGCTATTCTTAACTATTCTAAACTGTTATATGAAAAACAATTTAATTTTCAAATTTATTATTTATTTGAAACACAGCACTGTGAAATCATATTTTAAAATCTGTTCACTCTAAATTTTGTACCACCATCTAGTGAGGACTCTACATCATCCTCCCTCGTAATTCTTATCCTGATTCAAATTATCATTATATAAGTTGATATCAAATTGAGAGTAATATATGCACAGCTAATGAATGTTTTCACACTAAATATGAATTCTTAGGAATTCATTGCTCTCATTGTCTGAAGTCATTGTTTTAAAGTAAATTACTGTTCAATAATTCCTAACAATTAAAGTAAAATGCGTATAAAACCGGAATGATTTAATTCAGTGGAAAATTAAAAATAACTACTGAATTTAACTCAAATAAATTTATAAATTAAATAGTTACGTCAATTAAGTTGTTTATCAAACAATTTATTATAATAAAATATTTCTAATCGCCCGAAGGCCACGATTTTAGGCACTAAAAAGTCCCGGAAAGTCACCGTCGGAACTCACTTGACCAAGTACTGTTCCCGATGAATTTAATCAAACATTAATTAATTAAATTATTCTACCAATATATGGTAACGATTTACAGAAGTTTCAGCGTGATCAAACTTGGCCAACTTGATCAGAACCGCTCCCGAACTTTTAAATCGGTAAAACTTATCAAAAATGGCGGTTATTTAGGGTTCGGAAAATTAATTTAAGTTGCTGAAAATATTTTTTTATTACTCAACTAAACCATTGAAATTATTTTATGATAAATATATATTCAAAATATTGATTTAAAAAGACTTTTTTCACTATTATTACCGAAATCCGGGGTAGTGAGGAATCGCGAATAGATTTTAATGCAGTTATGAATTTATAACTGACGAATGGGTCAAGATAAATTAACGAAATTTTATCAACTTATTTACATAACATTAATAATTCTGTTAAAATTTATTTGAGATAAATCCGTCGATTATTTTAAATTTTATACGGGATCAAGTAATTCCGCTTTTATGCGCATTTATCTTTAGAACATATGATGAGTTTGCGAATTGGTTCACATGATAGACATCATTTCAACATTAAATCTATGGGACGTGTAATTTGGTTCACAGCATAGAAAGTTGACAGAATATTGAGTGGACAGTACTTTACGGTATCTGTAATTATATGGGTTTCATAGTTATTAAGTTAAAATTATAGAAAATTTATGTAATTTTAAACCATTTAATACGTTATTGAAACTGATCTTAAAATAAATGTAGTCATATTATTTCTACTTATAGGGGATTATGCAACCTAACAAAACTTGCATGATCATTCAATATTATTAATTCTAGAATGTGTTATGCAATTCATTTGTAATAAAGTTGTTAACAATGAGGGAAGAATTATATAACTAATTCTTTAACTGTTATATGAAAAACATTTTTCAATATAAACTTAATACTTATAAGTTATAAATGTTATACATTTGCACATTAATTAATGAAATCTATACATTCTTAAAGAATTTCAACATATTTAGCCATTCATAGAGAAAATATGTTACGTTAACAGTAAAACCAATTTATTAATATCTTATAGACTTAAAAGTTACTTTTTAGTTACTACAGTCTGTGGACTTTAGTTTGCTTTTTGTACACAAATATTTCTGAACAATTGATTTGCCGGTTATCTCATGTCATAAACACCAAAATGACAATTAATTTAAAGCATTCATAAAAATGACAATCAATTAATTGAATGGGAGTTTCACTCAAATTCATTGATAAGTGTATCCAATGCTGACTACAGTAGAAGTAGTGATCGCTTTACGCAAACATGTTTACAAAAACACAATATTATTGCGATTCTTGGCTTTCTTTGCATACAATTCATTCATTCACTCATTATTTGCATTCAAGACAAACACAACATTAATATTAAAACTCAATTCAGTTTAAATTGCAATCAAATTGAATGCAAATATAAGCCATACAATGATTGTGACATTTAAGACAATTGGATGCCATAAGTGATGATTGGTTGCTATCTTATCAATAAAACAACTTTAACCCCAATATTACTGTTAAATCACTTACAAATCAATTGCAAAACTCGTTTATAAACCACTAATCGCTTAATATTTGGCACTAATTGTCAGACAATTATTACTTTTTTGTATATTTTTCTTTCATTGTTAATACAATTTGTGGACAAATGTAAGACTTATTGACATTTGATTTAACAACTATTTAAACGCTAATTGTGTTGACATTTTGCTGACAGCGACTAAATGGCGGGTAAAGACGTGTTTCAAATGGGTTGCCACACACTGGCCATCAGCTCTTCCCTCCACCGCAACAATCGTCTCCGACTCGTAGACCGACTGAAGGCAAAGAATTTGTCCAACAATTGTCTCATTGTATTACAAGGAGGAGAGACTCAGAACATGTACTGCACTGATGTTGAGGTGATTTTCCATTGATTATCCCAATTGAACCAATCGTTGACTTATTTTAATGTGTGTTTGTTTTTGTGGTACATTCAGCCGGTCTTCCGTCAGGAGTCGTACTTTCACTGGACTTTCGGTGTGAAAGAGCCCGACTGTTACGGAGCCATAGATGTGAGTACCGGACGTTCACTACTGTTTGTCCCACAATTGCCCCAATCGTACGCCATTTGGATGGGAAAACTGCTTACCCTTCAAGACTTCAAAGACATCTATGGTGTCGATGAATGTCATTACGTTTCGCAAGTAATTGAGATATTTATAAATTATTATTTCTGTAAACTTTATTTACAAAAATTACTAAATTATTGGACAGATTAATGAAGTGATCGCTGGCCTTAAACCTGAACTCCTTCTGACACTCGAAGGAGTGAACAGCGATTCCCAGAAAACGACTCGAGAGGCAGTGTTTAATGGGATCGCAAAGTTTAAAGTCGATAATAAACTGCTGTACAAAGAGATCAGTGAGTGTCGTGTCGTCAAAACAGAGGCAGAGCTGGAAGTGATGCGATACACGAACAGAGTTAGCAGCGAAGGACACAAAGAAGTGATGAGACATATTAGACCCGGAATGACTGAATACCAATTGGAGTCCGTTTTTAGACACTACACCTACTATAACGGCGGCGCCCGTCATATGTCGTACACTTGTATCTGCGGTTCGGGTGAGAACGGGGCGACTCTTCATTACGGACACGCCGGCGCTCCCAATGATAAGACTGTCAGCGACGGCGATATGTGTCTCTTCGATATGGGCTGCGAATACTATTGCTATTCGTCGGACATCACGTGTTCGTTCCCCGCGAACGGGAAGTTCACTTCAGACCAAAAGATTATCTACGAAGCGGTGCTGAAGGCGAGCCGAGCGGTGATGGCGGCCGTGAAACCGGGCGTCTCGTGGCGTGACATGCATTTGCTCGCAGAGAAGACACAATTGGAGGAAATGACAAGACATGGATTGTTGAGAGGAGACATCAACGATATGATGACTTCCCGGTTGGGCTACATCTTTATGCCCCACGGATTGGGACATCTGTTAGGCATTGATGTTCACGATGTCGGCGGATATCTAGAGGACTGTCCGCCGAGATGTGCAGAGCCCGGACTCAGCAGTTTAAGGACTGCTCGACAATTAATTAAAGGAATGACACTAACTATAGAACCGGGAATTTATTTCATTGACGCTCAGCTCAACAAAGCTAAAGAAGATCCCAATCTTTCTAAGTTTATTGTTTGGGATGTGATTAACAGATTCAGGAACTTTGGAGGAGTGAGTCTTCTTTATTAAACGACTGTTTTTTTTTCGCTTTTATTAATACTTGTTATGAAAAATTTAGGTCCGAATAGAAGACGATATAGCGATCACTGAGACAGGAATGGAACTGTTGACTGATGTCCCGCGAAGTGTCCACGAAATCGAGGCGTTAATGGCTGAGGGAAGGAAACTTGAGGTTAAGTTTCCTCAACAAAAGTTCCTCAAATAATCATAATTTATGACTGTTTTGTTAAAATTAATATTAAATTTGATTGAATATTTTAAATATTTAATCTTAATATTTTAATCTTAAATTTTATACTTCTTTACAACTTATAATGAAGAATAAAATAATACATATTATTTGTGTTTTATGTTAAGTTGCAATTTATATAACATCAGTTATACTCGGTATTATCGGACCTATTGATCAGATAATAGTTTTAATGGATGATATATTTATTAAACTAACAATTAACGCTATCAATGACTGTATAGTTTGCTTTTCATTAACATTGAAAATGATAAAATGATAGTTAGGCGCGAGTTTTAATAGTATTGTTAATTGAGCGCAAGTTTGAATTTGTTGTCCGTTTATTCGGAGACAAATCAAAATTTGAATGTAATTTTGTTGATAACCAAAGACACACTTCTGACCACTTTTCAAATATGAGTGAACCGGAAGCCACGGCAAGCACTGATTCCGCTTCAAAGACTGAAAGCCAGGACAAGGGAGCAAAGGGTGAAGTGAACGCCAGACCGGGTTACACCTATTCGGCCAGTTATGACAAGGAATCGGGTCAAACAGTTCGCGCTCGGCTTGAAATCGATGGTAAGGTAGTTGTGGTCCCCGTCTGTGCCATATGTATCAAAGTCAATAGGATCTGTCCCCTCGACCCCAATCTCACTGAACAACAGATCGCTTCCGCAAAGTTTTTGGGTCTAGAATCTGATTCTGGATCCGATTCAGACAAGGCATCCAAAACTGCATCCAAAGAGTCCTCAAAGGATTCATCAAAAGAATCGTCAAAAGAGGGAAAAGATTCGTCAAAGGATTCATCGAAAGACGCGAAGAACGCGTCAAAGGATTCCTCTAAGGATTCCGGAGCTAAAGACTTATCGAAAGACTCGAAGAGCTCATCAAAGGATTCCTCTAAGGACTCATCAAAGGATGGCGGCGGAGGTTCTGGAGGTTCGGGTGGAAAGGGAGCCGATGACGACAAGAAGAAGAAGAAATCGGGAGGAGAGCACCGCAAGAAGGAGATGGAACCGCCGCCCACGTGGACAACAAATAAACCGAGTCACGAGGACTGGACTAAGAAGAAGAATAAGGACTATTAGAATAGACTGACATTTGATTGAATTCTAGAGTTTGTCTTAAATTTTATGAACAAAATTAAGTAAAATATTTCAGTCCTTTTGATTCAATAAAATTCATTATTTTTGTTCATTTCATGACTTTTAAGGTTTTCGTTATTTATTTATTTAGTTTAAATATAAAAACTATATTATAATCAATTCTCGAGATTCAAAAATGAATTCAATTTAAATTAGTGATTGAATAATCGGTTTAAAATAACACTAAAAGGTTTGTATTAAAGCGGATATTTTTAAATTCAATAAAATGCCACCAAAACATCCCAAGTCTAAAATGCAAGATCCAGAATCAGCTGAAAACAACTCATTCTCACAGAATCCACTCAACTATGGCTTAGAACTAGTTATACATTATGTCCAATATTTTACCGTTTATTTGGGTATAATTATAATTATATGATTAGCAAACATTAATTAATCTGATTATAAATTATAACCAACTTTTAGAACTATTTAAAATTAATGTCATTTTTGTGTTCAGGAATTCATAACTTGATTTTGGGAATATTGACCCTAATATTCTCTACCGAAAGACTATATATGATTATATTTGGATTGATTTGTTTGCTTCCAATCGTCAATATGTTTATTCATATCTATTATCTAAAGAAAGACGATTTAAAGATGTTGACCATAATCTTTTCAATCAATTTAGCATTTATTGTGGTCACAATGATTTTTTTCTTAGTATTCAAGTTGTTGTGTAAGTTTACAATACCATAGTTTTAATTACTATGGTTTTAGTTGTTATTTTGAATAAAATTAAACTCATTTAACTTTAGTGACAAACGGCCCGTTCGATGAGGACATCTCGTTTCAAATCAGTTTATTCGTCTATACGTTTGCGGTCCTAATTCTGACCGTTTCTTATTTAATACTTATTGTAACTATCAATCAAAATGACAAACAACCAGAGAGTAAACCCAATACACAAGACATACCCAATGGTAAACAATTGAAAGCAAAGAATCGGAACTAAGAGAAGCAAACTTAAGATAATATTTCAAAAAACTATTCATTTTAAGCCATTTAATGTTATTTGAGATATATTTTTAAAGTTATCTCAATTAATAACAAAATTTTCAAAATAAATTCTTATAACTTATTCAATGTATTACTCAATGAAAACAAATTGTCTTTTCACAAGTGTTTGATAATTAATTGTTTACAACAATTAATTTATGTCACAATAAAAATATAGATAATAATAAATTGAATAAACGAAGCCATTAATCATTAATCTTAACACAAAAAAATTGTTTTTTATTCAATCGTTTCTTAAATTACAAATCGGTTGTTAAAGAGTATATGTTTAGTAAAACATTCAAATAATTAATAAAATTCATTAAATATTAAATAATTAATTAATCCTAAGAATAGCCTAAATATAATAATAATGTAATAGATTTGTACATATATTTGAACACATCATTCAACTCATTATTTAAACAAATGTCTGAAAAACAAACAAATTTTTCTGATAACAAATTGTGTGTCAAATGAGTGGTTATTATCTAAGGATACAAATGACAACAAAAATGCGGTAAAAAAGTTGTGCTCAGAAAAAGGGAGGGCAGAGGAAAAGGCGATTCATTTAAATACAATATATAAGCGATTAATAAATAAATAAAAATTAAGGTTAAGTGGAGTTCAATAGATTGAATTGATTCTCGTTTTGGTCGAAGTCTTCGTCACTGCAGTCGTCGTATAACTGATTGGACTTCTTGTGGTCGACCGGCGCCTCTTGTCGGCCATCCAATTGCAATCGTTTGACCGCCTCTTTGATAAGAGATCCCTCTTTGAGCAACTGTTGCATCAGTTCGTAGGTATCACTCATAGAGGACGACCTCTTGAGTGCACCGCCACCACAGCCGCCGCCCTTCGACACGCCGTTACCGCTATTACCCATCAAATACTTGCAGTTCAGACAATAACAGCCACTATTTGATTGTGATCTATAGGCCGATGAGTTGCTGATCTGATACGGACTCAGACGAGACATACGACACAACCGATGGTTAGTCTTAAGGCACAGTTTGCTGGTAAGTGTGGACACCAAGTCGTCCACAACCGACTCATTCAACGCCGACTTATAGCCATTGTATGAGTCCTTCTCATCGCACGACTTCTTCTCCTCGTTGTTGGCGATGGTCTCCAATGAATGGCACTTATTGTCCATTTGATCCAAACGTCTGTCGGCGGTGTTTGCGAGCCATTGGTTTGGCATCGACTCAATCATACGCTTCACTGGCATTGCATTCAACGAAACCACAATTCAATGCAAACAAACACTCGTTTTCAATACAAATAACTTATGGTTTCGTTTGATTTCACACCAAATAGTAATTCAAAGCAAAAACACAACAAAAACAATAATCACTTGATTTCACTATTAATACCACAAAATTGAATAAACAAATGAATAAACGCTAAAAACAGTTATCAAACAAATGGTTGTATAATATTATGAATGGAAAAAATCGCTATAAATATGAAACCAAAATAATGAACGACTGAAGGGCTGTAGAGATGTGTATATAATGTACGGCCAAATGAAACGCTTATAAATAGTGTATAAATAGTAATAATAATATTAACAACAATTTTGTACACTATATGTGGCGATAATATAGTGAAGTCGACACGAATTGAGTGCAAATGCAAACCAAACAACACTTGTATTGTCTCAACGTTTTGGTCAACAGATATAACAGACAACACAACAACACATTCACTGCTCTCTCCCTATACGAGACTGTAGTAGAGGTTAAACACAATAACACTATAAACAGAGTGACTATAGCTTTGTTTACTAACAAACTGTGGCATACATTACGTCAATGTTTTGGTCATTCACTGCCACTGCCATAGCATTGGTGGGAGACGTTCACAGCGGACGTCATTTATGGTGAGAGTGTATAGCGTTTGTGGAGCACTGCATAACAGAGTGTAGCGGTAGTGATGTTTGAGGTGTTGTTTGTGTTGTTTTCGCATCAAAACAGGTCTTTAAATGTAATGCAGAAAAAAGCAAAACATGAAACACAAAAACATGAGTTCAATAGAGAGCGCAAAGAGAGTGTGTTTTTATGGTTTTTTTCTCGATATCAAAACGACTCGTACTTTGCATTTGAATTGCTTCCACTTCTTATCGCAATATGTAATACAAACACAGTATATAATCACTATTTTTAACCACAATTCAAATATGAAGAATATGGTTTATAGGATCGTTCGGCCCCCTCCCCTCCCCTGCTAAGTCTATAGAAAGTCTATAGGACTCATGTTAAATGCTAATCTATTTTTGAGCATCACCCGAATTGTGGTTAACCTATAGATATGACCGCGTGATCCTTGTTTTGTGATATTCCTAATCATTAAGTAGTTATAAATTGTCTCAATCTTGTCGTCAACATGAATATCGCAAGTTATATCTCCGACACACAAATGGCACAAATGAATAGGCATTTTGACATTTTATAGGTCACACACAAGTGATCCCTTCCCTACCCGTGATGTCCATTGATTTCCAATACATAAGACTATGACATTTGATTTCCATTAACTAACATATAATTAACGTTTCAAAGCTAGCAATGGATGATATTATGGTTAAGGTTTGGAGGAAGAGGTCGTCAAATATGTTTATTTTGTCCATACATTGACCTAATCTTTAGATTCACTGATTGAATGTAATATCAATTGTTGAGTCTATGAATGACATCCATTTCATATAGAGATTACTTAATTGAAAGACTTATTCAAATTACAACATATTTGTTAATTAAATGAATTTTTATTGTGCTTTTTAATTAGCATTTGTTTTTCAGTTTTTTACTGATAAATAGTTTTAACATTTTCTCATTTAATCTACTTTTCACTAGAATTTGTGACTAAATATATAAATAATTTAATGTATTGACTAAACTATAAATAGCTTAAAACACAACGAAAATGGATTGAAATATAAATTAAATTATTTTCAAAAAATACAATTTTATAGAAAATAGTCTGAAACAAGAGTTTGCGTCAAAACCATTGCTTTAACATTACATTACTGTAAATGCTATTTACGTACAAAATGTTTCAAATGTTAAGTACACTGTATTTACACTAATAATACTCTCCTAATAGTGATATAAAATCCGATTCTCTGTTATTATATAATATTTTATAACTGATGACTACTTTCTGTGCAAATAAACGCAATTCTTGTTAGCGATTATGAGTCCATTCATTGCATTCATATATCAAACACAATCTTAATGTCACATTCATTGGTGAGAAAGTACTCAAAACAATACATTCAATGCATTCATGTATTTAATAATTAAAAATCAAATACAGGAATAATAAGAATAACAATAATAAGTTGTTTTGAATAAAAAAAAGTTTTGAAGGTTTTCTGTGGTTAAACAGTGAATGAATTGATTGAACGGTTAGTCCCTATACTAGAGTATAGCCACAAACACAGCATAACTGGTGTTGTATTGCATTCAATGCACAGACAGTCAGTCGTCTACTGATCTAACAGTAAATGATATGTTTTGTGTTGTTTTGCAACCAAAAAGTCCTTCAATTTAAATGACAAACATTTGATGAATAAATATTTTGGCCAATCATTACATTCAATGAATTGTTTCGCTAATTAGTAATTAAAGCAAACAATTAAAGCGATCGCTATATTAAGTGCTGTTATAATAATGCCAGCGATTGAGGACTCGTTTGACGAGAGTATCAACAATAATGTGGTCCACAATAAGGAGACGATTGTTGTGCCGATCCTTCACTTCAACGACTGCTATAATGTGGAGCCCAGGAGTGAAGAGCCGTCGGGAGGCGCCGCCCGATTGGTCACCGCTTTTAACTCATTTAAACACTTGAATCCAATGGTTTTGTTCAGCGGAGACATAATCGCCCCTTCAATCAGTCCGTCCAACCATTTGATTGCCATTTGATTGAATCACTCATTTTGATTGTATTGTCCCATCAATAGTGAGCACATTCACGAAAGGCGAGCAAATGGTTCCAGTGGTCAAAGCTCTTGGTATTGATTGCGCTCTTTATGGCAATCATGAGTTTGGTATGCATTTCGCTGTCGTCTCCCTCTTAATAGCGATTCTTTACAGAATCGTCTCTTTTATTATTCAAATTCTGTATTCATTTGCATTATATCTTATGTTTCGTTGTGTTTGCGTTAATAAACGATAAAATTATTATCTCATATAGACTTCGGAGTCGATAATTTACTATCGTTTGTAAGCCAAACATCATTTCCATGGCTTATGAGTAATGTCTTCGACAACGAGACTAACCGTCCATTAGGTGACGGAAAGGTTTGGCATATTCTGGACAAATGTGGCAAAAAAGTTAGTATTAATTATATTTTTAAATACAGTATATTTTTAATATTTGTATCAATTAATGAATGAATGCATTGTTTATAGTTTGGTATAATAGGGTTAATAGAAGAGGAATGGTTGGCAACATTGGCCACTCTGGCACTCGACGACGTCACGTATCTTGACTTTGTCTCTGAGGGCAGAAAATTGGCTAAACTTCTCAAAGAAAAGGTTTGTTTCAAATTATTTGCATTTATTAACACATGTTTAATGCATACATACATTAAAACGTGTTTAACAATAGAATTTGTTATATTTAGTCATTACAGTTATAGTTAACACTTGAGTACATTCTTTGTGTTAAGATAATAACAATTTTTACATTTATGATTGAAATGCAGGAAAATGTAGATTTTGTGATTGCATTGACACATATGCGGACTCCCAATGATTGTCGACTCGCAGAAAATGTGGATCAAATCGATCTGATTCTCGGCGGTCACGATCACGACTATGAAGTGAAAATAGTGAACGGAAAATACATTATCAAAAGTGGTACCGATTTTAGGCAATTCAGTAAAATCGATATCACATTCAATGAACAAACATTTGATATTAAAGTCAAAGAATTTAATGTCAATTCCTATGACTACGAAGAGGATAACGATCTAAAGGCAGAACTCGAGAAATATTCTGATGTAATCGAAGGTAAAATGGATAGCGTTTTGGGACACTTAAGCTGCGAATTGGACGGAAGGTTCGCATCGATCCGAACGAAGGAAACAAATTTAGGCAATTTAGTGGCCGATATAATGCTCGCCTCTACTCATTCAGATCTCGCCATTCTTAACTCGGGAACCCTTAGGAGTGACCAAATTCACCACAAGGGACCCTTCAAGTTACGAGATCTGGTGACAATAATGCCCATGATGGATGCACTCATTGTACTTAACGCCACCGGTCAGCAAATATGGAAAGCTTTGGAGAATGGCGTCTCTCTATGGCCTCGACTGGAGGGCCGTTTCCCACAAGTGGCCGGAATTAAGTTTTCATTCAATCCGTCCAAACCGGGCGGCAATCGAATCGATCCAAAGTATATTAAGATCGGCGACGAATACCTCGATTTGGAGCAAAACTATAGACTCGTTACTAAAGCATATCTAAGTCAAGGAAAGGATGGATACGATGTCCTCAAAGAGTGTGAAGTACTTCAACACGAAGACGAATGTCCGGAAATGGTTACTTCAGTTCAAAATCATTTTGAGTCGATTAAAATATTGACCGGTAATACGAGGCGAACCCATCACAGGCAGAGTCTGGTCTGTATCTCTCGGCGCACATCAGTGGTCAAAATGCATGACATCGGAAGTCTTGATTTGAATTTAATGACTCAAAGCTCTCACGACTCGCAATATTACTCTAAACACGAAAACAGTCCACTCAGGGGTCCGATGAAGAAAGTGATGAGTTTGGACGGCCGGAAGTCCACTCTCACCCGTTGCCCGTCCTTTGAGAATATTGAATACGAATACTGCAAACTCGAGCCCAGAGTCGAGGGAAGGATCAATGTTTTAACTGAAGAGGTAAACGAATGAATTTCTCATCCAATCGACACTTAATGTGATATTCACTGCCTTTCCCTCACATTATTCTTTAATTAACTTTTATTTTTAATCACAAATTATTATTGTTTTTAGTTTTACTACACTTTTGATCTGATTTTCATATTTGTTATGATTTCTATTCAAATTTCTTTGATTTATTTGTTTCGTTTGAAAATATTATCGGTTTGTTTCACAATTTATATAATTTTACCAAATTCTCGATTATGTTTGAGAATTGCTTGACATTTGAATTAAGTTATGCGAAATTATGGTACTTTTTGTCATGTGTTGCCATCAGATATACTTCTTTGATATGAGACATGAATTTTGACTGAAAAACTATTTAGGTTTCACAACAACTCGAAAGAGAAAAACAAGAGTATATTTCTTCTAATCTATTAGAAGATCCCATTCCTGAAGAAGACAATGAAGTGGAAGAGTCGCTATCGACTTAAATATTACTTATTGTTTGTGATTAACATTTATTACTGTTTTTATAATTTACAGAATATCAAGAAATATGTAAGTTTTTTAATTTCACGAAAATATTAATTGTTTTTAACATTTATTACAAAAATTCGGTCGAAACTCCATTCATAGGAATCTCTACTATTACTGGTATTTACTTATAATAATTAGAAAGCTATTACTAAACTCATTTACAAATGATTAGAACCACATTATATAAATTATATAACGATAAATTAAGTACTGGTATAAAAATACAAACATACAAATAGTGTTCACACAATCAAAGTATTCAAGTGTGAAGATAAATGTGACTCTTTTTAACAAAATGATTACCAAAAAATATTAGGCATTAATTTTATGCTAATTTCAAATAATCAAAACTTGTCAGAAAAGATGGGAAATATTGATATGTTTACAACTAATGCAATAATCATTCTTAACATTTCTTATGACTACTTATTGTAAAACTAATTATGGATTTTAAAAATACAAATGGATTTCGACTGAATTATTTCGTGGGAATATATATTTTGTTGTATATCTTAAAAGTTGACAAAAGGCTCACAAAAAAATCGGTACAATTATTTGCGTTAAACTTGTATTTTTCACATTTTAATAGTTGTGCCAATCATTTAAATGCCATTTCTAGTCAAAGTTTTTGTTAATTCTATAAATATTGTTAAATTGTTTTAAAATCTTAAATATGCGCTCATATGATATGATAATTACTAAACTCATTTACAAATGATTAGAACCACATTATATAAATTATATTACGATAAATTAAGTACTGGTATAAAAATACAAACATACAAATAGTGTTCACACAATCAAAGTATTCAAGTGTGAAGACTTATTGTGAATGTTTTAACAAATTACCAAAAAATATTAGGCATTAATTTTATGCTAATTTCAAATAATCAAAACTTGTCAGAAAAGATGGGAAATATTGATATGTTTACAACTAATGCAATAATCATTCTTAACATTTCTTATCACTACTTATTGTGAAACTAATTATGGATTTTAAAAATACAAATGGATTTCGACTGAATTATTTCGTGAGAATTATTCTCATTATATATTTTGTTGTATATCTTAAAAGTTGACAAAAGGCTCACAAAAAAATCTGTACAATGATTTGCGTTAAACATGTATTTTTCACATTTTAATAGTTGTGCCAATCATTTAAATGCCATTTCTAGTCAAAGTTTTTGTTAATTCTATAAATATTGTTAAATTGTTTTAAAATCTTAAATATGCGCTCATATGATATGATAATGTATTTTTCACATTTTAATAGTTGTGCCAATCATTTAAATGCCATTTCTAGTCAAAGTTTTTGTTAATTCTATAAATATTGTTAAATTGTTTTAAAATCTTAAATATGCGCTCATATGATATGATACTGTATAAGGAGTTGTTTATCAAAACCAAATGTTTTTCAATTTAAACTTCAAATTAATACTAAAGTAATAAACCAATTATCAAAATCTTTTTAGACCTAAAGTCACGACATATTTGTAAATAATTGTAGATTTGTTTGTAATTTCAAATTAAAACTAATTTTAATAAATATAAACCAAAAAACAAATGTTATTTACAGAAAATTACAGAAAAAGATAATAATATTACCGTAATAAAGATTATAAATTATAAAACGAAACAAAAAATGAGTCTAAACTTCAGTTCTTTGAGAGAGTGTCAGAGGAATGGATTTGAGTTCAGTCTTGAGACACAAGAACTCTCCGCAAACGCATGTGATTGTGACGGACAGTATGTTTACGATCCACCACCACATCGATGACGGGAAGTGACCGCTGAAGACCCAACATATCACCAAATGGATCAAATGTGTGGTCACCGAGAAGTCCAGACACGGTTTCGCCCTCTGAACCAAATGCCACAAAACAAGTGCTCTGTTTTGGGCCATAAATTCAATTCAAATAATCATTAATACAAACAAATGGTAAGTCTTTTGAGGAATCAATTACCCGAAGAGTGCGTTCAGAAAATATGATAATATAATAAGCCGTCCGTGACTTGACTTGAAGTTCAACTCCTGTATAAAGAGAGACAATTGAATGGTTAGTATAGTAATGGTTTGGGACAACGGATGTGATTGTCTTCAGACCTGATAATTGAAGAGATGGTTGAGTTGTGGTGAGTGTCCAGTAATGCAATCACTGATGTATATTAAGACACCTAAAGACGTGTAAAACAGGGACTGAATTGTGATTATTTGGGATATAATGAGCTGCGGATCCCATTGAGTGTATCTGAAGTGACCACTCATTGTCACCAATCAATTGATCCGATATTTCGTCAATTGTTTACACAAATTGTTTTTTAAACATTTGAAACATCTCTGAAAATGACGTCATTTTATGGCTTAACTCACGAGTCATACCAATGACTCACTCTTTAGCACCGCTTCCTCTCAATTGTCTTCATGTGAGACAATATTTACCACTTTTAGCGAGAGATCACCAAAAATGCCAAATAAATACAATTTCGAGACAATTATTGCAGAAATTAATTATTTTAAAAATTAATTTTAATTCAAATCAAAGGCAAAGAAAGTGCAACAAAAAAGTGGACGTAATTAATGACTGGAAGTGTTGTCCACGAGATGTCAGGCGTGTATTGAAGACACAAACCATTGATATTGTCGTCAAATTCGTCCATATTTTGTGTGTTTTGATCGCAAAAGGGATTGAATAGTGGTTTACATATCGGAAGTGATAGCAAGTGATCCACATTTGCGTTGAGATAATGACATCACAAGTCCTTCATCTGCCGAAAGGCGTGAAATCGATGTTTCTGTTGAGGAAGCAGTTGTTCACTCCGTTGGGAACCATTGGGTGTCAACACATCTACGGCAGGAGTAAAATCGGCAAACGAGAGGTCGTGGGCTTCGGAGTGAACGGCACTTACACTTACTTCGATGTGCCGGACGTCCCGATGCCTGCCATCCGCTTCAGGGAAGCCGACACTCAGATCAGCGCTCTTCGCGAGAAGGAGAAGGGAGACTGGAAACAGCTCACCATCGATGACAAGAAGAAACGTATACATTATCACATCTATTAGTGCTATTGTCTCTAATGTCTTATTTGATTGTCTCTGTATTGTCTGTACTGCACGCGTGTGTGTCTGTGCGGACACGACTGGTCCGATGCTTGGGTACAGTCTATCGATTCAGTTTCTGCCGGACGTACGCCGAGATGATGGCTCCGACCGGTGAGTGGAAGTCAATCCTCGCCGGAGTGCTGGCGATAGTGACGACCGCTTTGTGGACATATGTGTTGATCAAGAAATTCGGTATATATTTGGACGTGATTTGTATTGTAATGAATGTGTATTAATGTAATGACTGGCTGTGTGTGCAGTGTATGCGCCAATGCCTGAGTCCACTTCACTCGAGTGGCGTAAGAAGCAGAGGGATTGGATGGTTCTCTGGAAGGTTAACCCCATTGAAGGCCTTTCCTCCAAATACGACTACGAGAAGAATAGATGGAAGGATTAGAGCAACACTTCTTCCGCTTAGAAGTAGTGTTAAGGAATCAATTGATTGTTTGTCTTCACTTTTTTCTCTCTAATGTCCTCTAATTCCTGTATCGATTGCTTTAAGAATTTATTTCCAATTATATTACTATTAAATGTATTGTTATTTTAGTTATTATAAAAATCAGTAGTAAAACGAAACAAAAGGCATTCTTATCGCTGAGACGTTATATTTCACGTAAAGCTCTTAATGTTTGCGATAAGATAAGAGCGAAAACTGCCATTAAATTGCAAAAACTGTAGAAAATGTAAACACAAATACGAAATGATTTCCAAATAAAGTATATAATTAAATATGAATAGAGTGTGCATTGATTTACAAATGAACGGCAATTAAACAATTAAAATATTACTTGATTTAAATATTTAGAAAATGTGTGCAAAAAATCGCTCCGATGCCGGGAATCGAACCCGGGCCTTCTGGGTGAAAGCCAGATATCCTAGCCACTAGACCACATCGGATTGGTTATTTGCTATGGCATGCATTGCTATATCTATAGTATATGCCATCCCATGGGCACAGAATTGGTGATCATGTTTAATGAATATTCAGCATGTTTTATGTAATTATTACCCGATATACTGTATATTCTATGCATCTGTATATATATTATACTGAATATATGTAAGA